GTAAAGACGCAGCCAACACCGGAGGCTCCAAAGGCAAAGCAGACTCCAGAGGCATGAACAAACAGAGCCTTTTCATAACAACCAACAGGGCATAACCACAGCTCTCTCCAAACACCTATGTACTGTCAGCAAAGGGAGGAAACGCCACCTAGCACCTCCCAGGACCCAGCCTCAGGCAGAGCTCTCTACGAAGTAAGCCCTGGTGAGTTTTGTGTGGATCCATTCCAGAGCCGGGCTAGCACAGGGCTTCTGCCACAGGAAAAACACGCTCTGACAAGCAACAGCAGAGAGAGCTAAGCCCTCTGGACTGCATCCCTCTGACCCCAGGGGATCCCCGAAGCACACACAGGACCAGGGGAGTCAAACATTTATTGATGCTCGGGCAGGACCAAGGTCTGCATCAGTACCACATCTGGAGAAGGGAGGGGGGCAGATCCTGCTGTGGTGCTGTGGTGCAGGACCAGGCACCAGCAAGGGCAGGGGCTGTGGGTCCCAGGCAGGAGGACACTCCATACACTGTCTGGCCCACAGCTCTGGCAGTAACACAAGGGAAGACAAACCCTCCATGGGAAGTGCTGCAGCAGGAGCTAGGACAGAGGACAGCCCACAGTGCACAGCGCTGCCCCTTGGGGGCCTTTCTCGCCAGCCAGCAGAGCCTTACCCCATGCTGCTTTGTGCTGGGGAGCCCAAACACAGGAGAGCCAAAATACAGCCCTGGGCAGCAGCACCAGCAGGAGGTCCCTTCCCCTGCTCCCCATCAGCACTGACCCTTCCCAAAGGCTGGGACCGGGGCTTCAGCTTAGCCCCAGCCTGCCCAGCGCTGGAAACATCAGATGTATCCCTGCTTGTCCAGAGCTCCTCCAGCATGACCTTGGTTCTGCAGCATGTCAGGACTGGTGATCAGCTCCAACTGCCTCCATGACGTTCCTGAAGCCCTGCTCCCTACAAGGGACAGTGTGTGCCCACAGGCCGGCCTGGCACAGTGCCTCGGCCCAGCAGTACTGTGCCCGAGCACTGGCATATGGCTGCCTGGAGCTGCCCTTGGGCTCCATGGGGATATGTCTGGCCCTCACTCACCTCAGCAGCTCCTCCAGCTCCTGCTTCACTGCCTGCACCACTGCTGGCCCGTGGTACACGAGTGCTGTGTACATCTGCACAAGCGAGGCTCCAGCACGGATCTTCTCCAGGGCATCCTGCCCGCTGCTCACACCACCCACCCCGATGATGGGCACCTGGCCTGTGGCAGATACGGGGTCAGGACAGCACAGACGACACTGGCCCAGGCCCCCAGGCCCCTGCCCCTACCTCGGGTGAGGGCGTACATGTCCCTGATGGTCTGTGTGGAGAGCTCCCGCAGGGGCTTCCCACTGAGGCCACCAGGCTCCGAGCGCTGCCGGCTCTGGAGGCTGCTGGGACGGCTCACCGTGGTGTTGCTGACAATCAGCCCATCCACACCGAGCTGAGGGGGGGGCAGCAGCATGAGGTCCACGAGCAACCCCCGCTCTCACCCCCCAGTCGCCAGGCCAGCACCCCTTAGGGACATGCACCAGCAACGTGCGCCGGGACAAAGCAGCCACCTCCCCCTGCCTCTGGGTGGCACAGAGAGGCCCTCATAAACTCAGAGCTACAAAGGGCACTGTCCCTACAGCAGCCAGAGTGCTGCAGGTCTGCGTGTCCCTTCGGAGGTGACTTGCCAGGAGCACAGTGGTCCTGCGATCACGCTGCAGGACACAGCACCCAGCTCCTTGCCAGCCTCCCGCTCCCCCCTCCTCACCTCGCAGACAACGCTGGCAATGTCCTGCTTGTCCTGAGTGCTGAGGTCAGGGGCAATCTTCACCAGCACAGCTGGCTTGCGTGCGCAGGGCAATGCGTCCCGTGCTGCCAGTACCTGCAGGGCAGCGCATGGGCCACAGAGCAACATGTGCTGGGGACATGTGTGCACCCACTGCCAGCAGCAGCACGGGACGGGCCCTGCTCTCCTCATGTGCTGCCAGGGCACGCGACCTGCACAGGCCCACAGCGAGTCCCAGTGCCATGGGGCAGGGAGGCAAAGCAGAGGGCAGTGCCACACTGCTTATGTGATTCTTGATGGAATACAGTACCCCAGTGAGCCCTGTGCCAGCAGCTGACCAGGGGACATCTTGGTGGCTCTGCCCACCTCTCCAGGGTGCCACCATGCTCCTTCCTGTGCTGGCAAACCCGGCCGGAGCAGAGCAGGCACTACCAGATGCACCCACTGGTGCAGCTGTGGTCTGGGCTGGCTGTGAGGGTCACCCACCTTGGTCAGCAGGTCCTGCAGCTCAGCCTTGCCCTGCAGATGCCGCAGGCCTGGTGTGTTTGGGCTGGACACGTTCACAACCAGATAGTCAGCCAAAGGGCCCAGTGTCCGGACCCCAGCCACATAGTCAGCTGCAGCATCAGTGGAGCTCTTGTTCTTGCCCAGGTTGATTCCAAGCGGCATCCCCACTGGAACACAGACATGGCTGAAGCATAGCAGCAGGACCACCCACCGCCCAGAGCACCTGACACAGGAGCCCCGGCACCAGCTAAAATCAAGATGGGGATATGCAGACCATGTGTTTCATGGGGGTTTGCCTGGGAATGTCCTGCAAGCACAGGAGCATCACCACAGCTGCCCAGGTAACACCTACAGCACCGCAGCCTCCAGCCTGCACACACAGCAGAAACTGCTCTTGGAAACTGCCCAGCTCTGGCTGCTCTCAGCAGACACATCCTGCCCAAAGCAGCAAACGTAGCCTCTGTTGCAGAGCAAATGCCTGGAGAAAGGTGCTGATCACAGTCCCAAAGAGAAGAGCTACAGCCCCAAGAGAGTTCCTGCTGTCCGAGTGCACCTTGGTCTGCCCAGGGCCCTCCCATGCTTGGACACTGGCTTTACACACTCTTCCTGGCCTACATGGAACCCATGGAGACAAAAAACTACATGGGAGACCCCAAACCCACCCTGCAGACTCCGAGAGCAAAGGCTGATAAGCTGCCTCACCACCAGTGAGCCGGAGCTGTGTGTCCTGGCGGGCCCGCAGCCTGCACTCCACTGCAGCGTGGCCATGGCTGTTGAACCCATACCTGCACCACAACAGGCAAGGTTCAGGGCTGTGCTGGGGCCACAAGACCCGAGCAGGACACAGGAGAAACAGGAAGAGACAGCTCAGCTCTGCTCAGCACATCCCACATAGGAGCCACCACAGCAGAGCCAGTACCACCCAAACAAACACCCAGCCCCGTGTGGGCAGCCCATGGGACCCTGCAGAGCTGCACCCTCGGGTCCCACCTGTTAATGACTGCCTCGTCCTCCACCAGCCGGAACACCCTGGGCCTGGGGTTCCCCTCCTGGGGCAGGGGCGTTACAGTCCCGACTTCCACAAAGCCGAAGCCCATCTTGTACAGCCCATCCACGGCCTCGCCGTGCTTGTCGAAGCCAGCCGCCAGGCCCATCGGGTTGCAGAACCGGTGCCCGAGCACTCGCACCTCCTGCAGGGCAGGGGCCGGGTCACACACGGTCAGCCGGGAACCAGACCCTCGCCCCGGCCCGTCCTCCGTTTCTTCTGCCCGGGGGACCTGCGCTCCCGCCGGGGCCATCTTCTGAGCCCGGGACCACGCCAGGAGCCCCGGCGTGCACCTCCGCGGACCTGCTCGCTCTCTCCGCCGTGCCCGCTGCCCCCCGCCCGTCACCCGCCCCGGTGTCCGCCCACCGCAGAGCCGCACCAGCGCTGGGCCGTCGGGACGGGCGGGAGGCAGCAGCCCCAGAGCGGCGACGCGCAGAGCCAGCCTGTGCGCGGCTTCGGGGGGTAGGGCGCGGAGCGCGGGCATCGCCGCCGCGTAGAGCCGCTCATCGCCCGCCGCCAGCGCCGAGCCCAGCAGCAGCCCGCAGCCGCCCAGCGCCGCCGCCAGCGCCCGCAGCCGCCCCTACGGGAGATGGTCAGCAGCGACATCGTCAGGACGGCGCCCGCCCCGGCCCCGCGGACCCCCACCCGGCCGCCCCGGCCCCGCACCGCCCCGGCCCGGCCCCATTCCCCTACGTCCCCCGCCCGCCCGTGGCCCGCCGGCGGCTCACACGCAGCGGCGCCGCCATCTGCCCGGCCCGACACGTGGAGGGTCACTTCCGCGACCCCGCCCCGGTGATTGGCTGAGGCCGGAACCCTGCAGCCAATAGCGAAACGGCAGCGCTCGGGGCTACTGCCGAGGGGGCGGAGCCCGGAGCGAGCCCGCCCTCACCCCGCCCCAGCCCGGGGCTCCCGTGCTCTCGTCCCCGGTCCCCGCAGCACCGGACACGGCCGCTCCAGCCCCGGTTTTATTAGGAACCGACCCGCACCGTACAAATCACCCGGGCGCCAAGGAACGGTCCCGTGAAGCGCTACGTACAGAGACACCAGAGAGTGCCACAGCGGGCACGGGTACAAGCAGCACCCTCCACCGCGCTCCGTGCGAGCAGAGCTGCTGCCACGCGTCCTGTCAGGGCTCCTCAGCCTTGATCAACCGGCGCACTCAGTGCCCAGTCAGCATCCCAAGTTCCTCTGTCCAGCCTGCTTGCAGCGCCCGTGGGGTCAGGACAGGGAACGGGGCTGAGGACATGGCCAACACCCTGGAGAAGGACCACGTATCCAGCGGGAGTGAAAGAGGACATCAGGCAAACTGCGACCAGATACAGCTGGAGCCAGGGAGGTGGCAGATGGGCACAGCCTGAAGGGCAATGCCACATCTTCTCACGCAACCATATTCCCCACCTCAGCCCCAGTTAGCTGGAAATGCTAACACAGAGACTTAATCACCCTGACCACAGATGCCATGGAGCAGAGAGGGGGAGCCTGTGGGCAATGCTGCCCTCGAGACTGAAGGCCAAGCACAGCTTCCCTGTACAGCTTCCCAGACAGACAGGAGCTGTTTCCTGCTCCAGTCTCACCAGACTTCCCACAGCTCACCTCCTGGACCAACAAAGGTCAGGACAGTGCCAGCAGTTGGTTTAAGTACAGCGAGAAAAGAGCTCAAAAAGAAGAGTGCATTCATTTGAGGTTAACAGAGAAAACAAATTTCAAGGGGAGTCAGTTTCAGTGAGAAGAGCCATCACAGCTCTTACCCCTCACCTTGGGGTTACAGCCCAGTCAGTTTTATGTTTTCTTCTTCAGTTCCTCAAATCTCCTGGAAAGATCATCAAAGTCAATGTCTTCAGAGGCAGAAGAGTTGGCGCCAGCAGATGCTGTTGGCAGCGTGTCTGGTACAGATGGCAGTTCAGGCAGCACAAAGTTATCAACAGTATTAGGAGCTCCAGCCTGTGGTTTAGGAGAAGCCTCTGACTTGGGCCCGGGCCCTATTTAGAGTAAGATAAATACCATTTTACCTCAGTACCACAGACACAAGAGGGCCACACAAAAGAAAGGCTGTTCTACCAAAAACGGCAGTACCAACGTGGTTTTCAGAACAGGACCAGTGGTCAGGCAGCTCAGATTACACAGATTCACTGGGGAAAACCACAACATCTCAGCTTTAGAAGGCTGGAAGGAGCAGCAGCAGAGGCAGATACAGACCCGCAGCCCTGTGCTGAGGCTGCAGCAGAAGCCCCCCCGCAGCCTACAGCCCGCTGCGGCCGGGCTGGAGTTGCCCTTGCCTGCAATGGCGGGACTGTACCACCAGGATCCAAAGCCCCGGGCTCCTCACTCCAGCACCTCCTGGAGACACGCCGGTATCACACTGTCACACAGCTGAGACTGAAGCATACAGCCAGATCCAGTGCACCCAGAGGCCTATCTTCTTCAGCACACATGAACACTCCCCACAGAAAACCTTGCTGGAGCTGGCAAGGGTCTACTTACTCTAAAAAGCCTCTCAGCCTTTATCAAGTGCTAGAGATAACAAGTACTTTCAAAACACACAGAGCAAAATCACAATGCACAAGACAGGAGAATTTTGTTATGATCTAATTACGCTGCAAGAAGCACCTTGTAAGACTTTAGGTGGACCAAGGGATAACAGCTATCACTACTAGCCCTGCTCTGCTGTATGCAACTTCAACACTGACATTAATACAAAACCTGTCTACCCTCTTGGTACATACTTCTTTCATTCTCTTGCTGCAGAGCAGTATTATTTACAGTGTGTAAAAATATATTACCACTTAGAGCTGTTGTTTCCTCATTTTATCATGCAACACCCCATTTTTGCTCTGACAGGACAGCTTAAGCTGGAGACCTAGTACTGACTCCTATGTCAGACTCTAGTTCTTGAGTTCCTTGGTGGAAGTCTGGATCTGCCCTGTTTAGAGAGGATACTCTGCACTTCTGTCAGAATCCTCTTCAGACTCAAATCATGCTCTCAAAATGCATCAGGTTGTACAAATTTCTCCCTGTGTGGAAAGCTTCCTTCCAGGGACACCAGGATCCTGAGCTAAGTACAGCCCCTGACCATCCCAGGTTTCCCAGACTTCTGGATGTACTCACCAGGCACCGGCGCAGGAGTGTCCTTGTCAGCGCTAGGCTCGGCAATCTGAAAAAGACTCTGTTACTACAGCAATTTGCTACACGTCAGAGGATCTCACTGATGTGTAGGCACTGCTCATGGGCAGCAGCAGCCACAGTAGTGGGCTGGAGGCCATGGCTCCCAGCACACTCACAGGAACCTGCCTTTCTACCCTAGAAAAAGGGGCAGTGCTTTGACTTTCCCTCCCTGTCAATTAAAGCATTTCCACTGGCCATATTCCAGAACTGGATTAACAGAGCATGTCCACTAGCAGGTCTGAAATATTTATTACAGACATAGTGTGAGAAGACTGCCCTCTTCATCCACGGCTGTAATCACAGCCACCACTTCCTTTCTTTCATAAAGGACAGACATGTCCTTGTAACCAGTAGCAAGGTATGAAATGACCCCATCTCAGGTCTTCGTCCAGTTGGGACAAAGGCCCATTGTCAGCTGTGCTGGCATAACTCCTCATTCCCTGCAGGCTGCAGCCAGTAACATCTGTCCCCACCCAGCTAACAACTCCTGTGTCTGTGCCTGCACCTCTTGCACCCAAAGGCTGCTGTACAGCTGGTACAAGGTGTCAGCACTCAGGGGTGCTTGGCGATGCTCATCCCTATACCCAGGATACTAGAAAAAGAAGCAGCATATCACTGAAAGAAAGATGGGAGGCGTGGTCATGAACTGCAGCAACAAAAACATAGACAAGCAGAGAAAGAAAAGAGTACATCCTCTCTTTTGTTGTCCCCAAGGACTGAGAAAAGTCTGGGAGAGGAAGTGTTTAAACATATATCATCTAAGTCAGCCAAAATTGTTATCCAGGCTAACTATGCGTTAGTTCAAAAGCCATAATTAAGCAGACCAAAGGCAATATGCCCTCACATTAAAAAAATCAGAATTTGTGGACTCTACTTGTTAACTGTTTATCACCATTTTAACAAAGCAGTAACATAAATCTTGGCTCTCTTTTGCAGGCAAACCACACAGCTGAATGAGGTCACAAGTCATCCTCCCATCACATGCACTCAGTGATTCACCACACTGTAAGCAACACCAAGCACCACCCCCAGAGCTACACAGGTCAACAGCAATGTGCTTCATCAACATTTGCCTTTTCTGTGGCTACCACAGCCCTCTTCTTGCAGTTCCCTGTGCTGCCTACAATGGTGATCCAGCTCAGGCACTTACAGACTCATATGTTGGTGGGTTTGCTGGAACTGGTGGTGGATGAACGTTGGTGAAAGGCTGGTAGGTCCCCACTGGTACACCACCGAAGTTCTCCTGTACAGAGAGATTAAAGTCATGCACCAAACTACACACCTGGGAGAGTAACCATGACACCTATAGCTGTTGTGCGAGTCAAAGAAAGTAATCTGAGGTAAATGCAGGAAAGTACCCAACCCAGTACAGTTTATACTTATAAGGAAAAGATTTACAAGTATTAAGCCAGATGTAGTCACCTAGAACAACCAAATCCAAATAACAGCACTGTGGGCTATTCTAAAGAGCCATCATGACGGAACACTTCACCTTTCAAGGTATTAGGAAGTACCAGGACAAAGAAGGCAATACCCTGCATTAAACACACAAGAGCTATTTTCCAGAGTGCAGCATCACAAAGGACAAAGGAGGTCTCCGGCTCACTCAGAGCTTTGTATTACCCTTACTTCTAACACAACAGTGCCTCAAAAGACCTATATTTGTCACAAGTCCTCACTGTATTTATGCCTGGGACAACAGCCAGCTGATAATGCTTGGCCCAGATTCTGTACAAAAAACACTGCAGCACTGCTGGAACCATATGAAGACTCCAACCCATCCCACTGTTCCCGCCGCTTTGCAGTCTATACAGATACCCTGTGAATGGCTGAATTTGGAGAACACTGCTCTTTCCAGCTCCCACCTTCCAGGCTCACAATAAGACACCTCCAAGAGCCACTGGCCTGGTCTCCTTCCCTTGCAGGTCTGAAGGCAGAGCACTTCTGCATTCTTATGTGCTGTTCCCACCCTATAAAACTCACCTCATTTCCTTAACTGAATCTTGCCACACTACCAGCCTACCAACGTCAAAACGCAGCTCCAACCCATGGTCAAAAGTCTGGCAGTCAGAAGACTGACTCAAGAGTTAAGTCTGGACTCCCCTGTTCCCTGAAGGCAAAGAGGGCTGGCTGGAGAACAGGGCTAGGAACCTCCACAGCCAAGAAGCAACATGAAGCTTCAGCCGCACTGACAACAGTTTCCATCCGAACATGATAGCCTTCTGACACATCAAGGTATCAGGTACAGACACTCTCGAAGCAGCAGGCATAAGCTAAGCACCACAACTGGAGTCTTCCACAGAAAAAGGAAACAACAAAGCAAAGGCACTTACCGGTCCCTTTGGAGATGGATAGGAGAAGGGCGGAGTTGGTGTTGGCATGGGCATAGGCATCATCACTGGCATGGGTACTAATCCATCATGACCAATCATTGGGGCTGTAAACCCACCACCTCCTCCCCCTCCTTGGCCACCCTTCTTCACATCATCTGTAAATCCCACATCAATCAGATCTGCCTCTCCACCTGCAGGGGCTTCAGCCTGGAGAGGGTGGAAGAATTCTGCTCATCAACATATCCCTATTCTGATCCCATCCCTCTGAAGAGCATTAGATGCAGCTTGGAGAAGATGAGACAACACAATGAAGACAGAACAGACAGCAGCTACACAGTGATATTAATGGGAATCACAAAGGTAACCGGACTATAGCATGGCTAACTATAGCCACATGCTGCAGGGCTGTGGGAAGGAGCAGGGATCACGTACTCAAAGGCCGTCTACAAAATACCAAAGCACGATTATCACTGAGCTTGCTGCAATGCCACAGCCCTGTGCTCTGAAAGCCCACACATTTCAACCACTGGAACACCAAAAGGAGCTCCAGATTTGCAGATGCCTCACTCACCATCACCACAGAGTCAGGTTCATAGGGCACATTGTAATTCTTAGCAATCTCGATGAGGTATCTCTCCACCAGAATCTTGGGTGGTGCCTCCACACTCAGCTTGTGCATCAGCTAGAATACAAGGTGGAGAGACACTCATGGGACTGGGCAGTGCAGCAAAGGTCCATCCTGGCTGTTACAGGGAGGGATGCCCTTCCTCCCAGAACAGCACTGCTGCAAGGGGGGCTGCTGGCAGCCACAGGCCAGGGCTCCATGTGTGCTGCTCCTTTTCATCTGCAGCCAATGCAGCAAGGCCCCACCACCAGGGACCTCAGCACTGTGCCCCAGTGCAGGCAGGACCCTACCCTGCATGAACCACAGGCATCAGCCACTGGTGACCCAGAAAGGGAGCAAAAAGCCACAGCAGTCATGTCTGTTCTGCCAGCTCCAGCTGGCTGCTGCTGTTCCACCAGTTCATTACCCTGTCATTGACTGTCCCAATCTGGTTTGTCCGGCACAGCTTCCCATACTCCTTGCTGTACTTGGCACAGAGCTGGTCAGCAACCTGCAATAGGAGAAACCACACACTACATGTCTGCTGTATTGCTCTCATTTCTGCTACTGAGTGCCCCAGCTGAGCAGTCTTAGCCATCCCTGATGCTTCAGGGACACCTATACTGGGGTCTCAATCTGCAGAGCCCATAAAAACATGTCCTCTGCCTTAATAACAGAGGCCCAAAGACATCCATCAGCTTCTTGCAGCATCACCCCCACCCTGCACATGTAACACCCCTCAAATAACCCTACTCACAATCTTCAACTCAGCCACTTCTGACTGGAGTCGTGGTGCAGCCCAAATCAGTGTAGATACTGCTTCTGCCAGGCCAGAGTCCAGCTCCCTATGGATAACAGAAGACAATCTTATCTCCACACCAAGCACTTAAGTCTTTGCTGCCCTCAATCTGCCTAGTCTGAAGGTCCCATCAACCTTGCTGGGCTCCAGTTTTCCCTGCCTGAGAAAAAAAACTCTCTGAAATCCCTAGAAAACCCAAACATAGGTCCCCTTCTGTACCCCAGGCCTGCCCCTAACAGCATTCCTCCTTGAGCCCAGGGGCCTGGACCCTCTCCCACAGCACACCCTCTAGGCCAGAGCTTACTTCATGGACTGAATCAAGCCGAAGCGGGCTAGCAGCAGGTCGCAGTACAGCTCCAGGATCTCCATGGCCTCCACAAGGTAATCTTCACGGATGATGTGCTCCACACGAATCCTGGCACGCTCATCTTTTCCGGCTGCCAGATAATCTGCAATCTCCTTCCTTGCCTTCTGGGCCAGCTCAGCTACAGCACATATCCCCAAGACCCGTCACTGTGTTGGCAGAGCTGCTGCCTCCATACCCATCCACAGTCCCCACCACACAGTCACCACAAGCTTCTCTCTCTCCTTCATTGAGCTTCTGCAATGCAAGACACTCCACCATGGCTTGGTTGAGCCCTTGTGTCTAAGTCCTAGCACACTAACTCACAGAAGAACAGAGAGTGGGCTTTTAGGTGCCAAAAGTAATTCCTATACCTTCAATTTCCCTGCAGAGTCAGTCAGAACCATAGATCTTATCCATGCCCAAGCAGGACAGGCAGGGAGAGCCTCCACACCATGCTGTGAGTACAGAAAGCCCAGGAAAGCCCCTCCTGGGGCAAACTGCCATGTCCCTCCACACACAGCCCAATGTTACCACCCCATGTGCCCCACAGACTGCACACCAAGGAAGGTGGCCAGCCTGCTCCTCTGGGTACAGCAGGGCAGACTGCAAGGCCTGGGTCCAGCAAGGGAAAGCAAAAGACTGCTCCATAATTGGCCCATGAAAGTACCCCAACTCCAGAATAGTCTCAAGGCTCCTGAGCTCCAAGACCATCCTGGGTTGCACTTGTCCCCTCAAATACTCACTCTTCTTTTTCTCCAGCAGTTTGAGGCGATTGATGACAAGGCGCAGGTTAACTCGCAAGCGCTCAGCCTTGAACCCAGCGCCCAACATGATAGATGCTTGCTGTGGGAGAAGAGGGAAAGTCAGTGGAACCAAGACCTGCCAGTCAGGAGGAGCAGTCACGGCTTTACTCAAGGACAAAAAAAAGACCCAACAAAACAAACCCAAAAAACCCAAACCAAAAAAACCCTACCAGCGAATTCTCCAAACAAACAGGCCCAGGCCTGCTATTCCAGAACATGAATGGAGCTACAGCACTCATCATTCCCTTTTCCATTTTACAACCCTGCACCTATCCACAACACCAGGGAATAGAAACTTCCTGGATAGTCCCATTCTGATAGACTGAATTTTGCCCCCAGAAACAGATTTATGATGATCAAAACCTGGGATTACCCCATAAATATGAACAGGGTTAGAAAACACATCCTAAAACAAGAAGATAAGGGCCTGAGTCTCTTTAACCTAGGTAAGTGACACCAGCCATTGATGTCAATAGCAGTGCACAGTAAAGCTTTAGGAACATTAGAGAAACATCTACCAGCAGTGGTCTAGAAAAGTGTGGCTGTGCTCATTTCAGTACACTGAGCTTACTGAGATGTGTTTTGAGGTTCAGCTCCAGAAATCTAAGAAGCCTGAGTAGGGAAAACCCATAGATTTCACAATAAATAGCACAGCTGCTAGAAGACATGCTTTCGTTCCCTGCTTTGAAAGGTGAAGGAAGTAAACCAATGCCTCAAGATGCCATCTGTGACAACTAACACAGCCAAATCCTGTTACTTCATTGACAAAACCACATTTTTAACGGAAATGAAATCAATTGCAAGAACCAAGCCTATTAATAAGTAAGCTGTAAATTAGCTGTATAATTAACCCAAGGACTGTACAAACTAAGGTTGTTACTATCCTGTCATCAGGAGGAAGAAGTTGCTATTTCATATACCCCATGCTTCCTACTTCCTGAATGCATGCTCTGGCATGTCTCCAGTCTCTCATGAGTTCAACTCTTCAGCCCTACAGAAAATTAACTCAGAAGACATTTTGTTACAGCATTTTGTTACGCCAAGAACCAGTCATCAAAAATGCTTAAGAACTATCACATTGAAAGACTTTAACTTGTAACTGAAGAACACACTTGGTGAGGCTTTTGGATAGTGATATCATTTTGTGTGTAACAAGTGCTTTGCACTGTAACAAATCTTATCTACAGTACATCCAGTTTATTTAGCTGATCTATTCAGTTATTTGAGCGATGCACAGAACCCAGAAAGCTCAAAAAACGCTGCTGCAGAAATTATGTATGCATGATCCAAGCCTGATGCCATAAAAAAGGTTCTGCCCTTCTGTAACTCGAACATACTCCTACAACATTAAAAGAACTTTATAGTGCGGCATTGTCCTGGGTTCAGCAGTAGCAGTCATTTTTCCCCTTCTTGGTAGCTGGTGCAGTGCAGTGTTTTGACTTTCAGCTTGGGAACAGAGCTGATAACAAGGATATTTTGGTTTGGCCAAGGACTTTGTGAGCCTCATGCTCTGCCAGGGAGGAGGGGAGGCCAGGAGGAGGCAGAGACAGGACACCTGACCCAAACTGACCAAAGAGGTATTCCATACCACAGCACGTCATGCCCAGGATGTAACTGGGAGTTAGCCGGAAGGGCTGGGGGACTGCAGGGTTGGAGGAGGTATGGGTCGGAGCTTGGTCGGGCTTGGGGGGCGAGTTATCGGTCGGCTGGTGGTGAGGTGTTGTATTCTCTTCCCTTGTTATTTCCTTTATCATTATGATCATTGGTGGTAGCAGTAGTGATTTGTGTTATACCTTAGTTACTAAACTGTTCTTATCTCAACCCGTGGGAGTTGCATTCTTTTCGATTCTCCTCTCTGTCCCTCCGGGAGCAGGGGGAGGGCAAGAAAGGGGGGGAAGTGAGCGAACGAATTACCTGACTAGGTTTAAACCACGACAGGCATGAAACAGTCTCAGCACGAGTTGCAATGTCTCTGTAAAAGTACCTAGTAAACATCTATTCCAATTAACAGCCTGTTTAACAGATTAACTCAAATGTAGCCACTAAGCAGCCAGCTCATTGCTTCTTTTCCAACCATCCTGCCCCTTTAAAGAGTTCTGTTGCCCCCACTGCCCCGCATGAGGCTCCAGCCACGCTGCTGCAGAAGGGCTGACCCAATCCTTTCCTCCCTGCCTCGCCTCCCCGTCCCTTCCTACAGACGCGCAGCTACTGTGACCAGACTTAAATCAACCTCTCCCCGCAGCGCAACGAGGCTCTCGCCAGGGCGGCTTCCAGCGCGGCGCCAGCGGGCCCGACCCGCCGCGCAGGTCCAAGGGCCCAGCGCTATCTCCCAGCAGCGCAAGGCCCAGGGCTGGTTTTATCGGCGCGGCTGCACCGTGACGGGGTGAGGGCAGAGACCCCGACCCCTCCCGATCCGTCCCCAGCGAGGCGGCGCCGAGAGGTCTCACAGCGGAGGCGAGGCAGGCTCCGGACCTACCTTCGGCCCCGCCAGCGGGCACTCGGGAAAGGCGCCCCCCCCCCCCCCGCTACCGGCACCGCCCTGGCCCCCGATCGCATCCCGGCGGCGGCAGCCCCGGCCCCACTCACCGCCCGTCCTCCACGCAGCTTCCAGTACCTAAAATGGCGGCCGCCGCACCACCTCACCGCCCGCGGAAGGATCCGCGGGGCCGTCCCTCCTCACACCGCAACCGGGACACGACCGATCCGGTGCAACAGCTGCACCGCAACACCGTCCGCGATGCCGCCGCTCCAGAGCTAGCGTCCTGGGGAAGGAGAGACAGCGGCGCGGAGCCGGAGAGGAGACATTAAATGGTCCAGCGGAGCGATCCACCTCTAGCGAGTGCGTGAGTACGGCAGCCAATAGGTGCCCGCCGGTACCCGCCCCCGGAGTAGAGGTTCCGTCGGCAGCTCCCATGGCCGCGGGTCCCGCCTCCACGGGTAGGGCGCCGTTCGGTGGAAGGCTCCGTGCCGGTCGCAGGCGGGCGGAGGGCCCTCCGGTTCCCTGAGGGCCAGGCGACGGTTGTGGCTCCGTGAGGGACGGTCGGGCCGAGGCTGAGCCGGGTCCTGGTGCCTGCAGTCCTGCCGCCTCGGGTCCCGGTGCGGCGCAGTCCCGAGGGTAAGCTGGCCCGGGGCGGGCTGCTGCGGAGGGAGAGCTGTCGTGCAGAGAGGCGCCACGCCGCGGTTCGGTTCGGTTCGGTTCCAGGCAGGTGGTTGGGCTCACACCGCGGCGGCTTTTGGATGAATCGTAACCCGTAGCTCTTGCTTTTGCAGGGCACGAGACTCTGCAGCTCGGGCGGAGCGGGGCAGCCGCTTCCCGCCCCGGGCGAGAAGAGAGGCAGCGGCCAACTACGGGGCCGGGGCTTGCGAGACCCGTAACCGGCGCGAATGACCCCTCGCGGGCGGCCGGGGGCTGCGGGCTGGGACGGATCCATGAACAACAGGTGAGATGCTTCGGGGAATGGAGCGCGGCCCCTACCCGCCGGCACGGAGCTGCCCGCACCGGGCCGAGCTCCCCGTGCCCGCGCCGTGCCCGCGCCGCGCGCTCTGGCGGCGCCGCCATCTTGCCCGTCTGTCTGTCCGGCGGCCCTTTGTCTGTCTGCGGCTCCCGGCGCCTGCAGCGGGACCGGGTAAGGCGGGCCGGGCGGGGGCCGGGGCGGCTCCGCCGTGACCCCCAGGGTCGGTCCCTCTGCCTGCGGGGCCGGGCCGAGCCTTCCGTCCGGCCTGGCGGGCGGAGCGGTCCCCGGGTCGTATGTCGGGACCCTGGGCGCAGGGTTCGTCCGGCCGTGCCCCTGCCAGGGCAGCGGCATCCGTGTGTCCGCCTGCGGGCTGGATCCTTCCTGCCGCCTCCTGGGTGCTGTTTTGACAGCTGGTTCCTTCTGTCGGGGAGACTGGTGCGATCCCTGTGTCCGGCTGTCTGAGGAGGCTTACAGAATCCCTGTGTCTTAGGAGGCTGTCGGGAGTCCTGTGTCTGTCTGGGGGCAAATGGTTTCAGCGTCTCCTTTTGTCAGTCTGTCTGAGGGCCCTGTTGGGATTTATCCCTTCCTCTGCCCGTTGAGGACGGGGGGGCCATGTTTCCCCCTTTGTATGGTTTGAGGGGGTCGGTGTGTCCCTGCCTGTGAGGGACAGGGGCAGCGCATCCCCGATGTGAACTGCGGTGTCGGTGGTCCCTCCCCAGGTGAGGACACGGGGTGTGTGCCCAAGTGCCTGCCCCAGGCCTGCCTGCCCCCAGCGCCTGCCCGCAGGACGGCGAGGTCAGTCCGTCCAAGAGGCGGCTGTCTGAGATGGGTCCTGTCCCCGGGTTGGCTGCTGCCACCGTGTCTGGAGCTGTGACCACAGGGCTGCCGGCTCCCCTGTCTGCCTTCTGCGAGCGGTGAGGCCTTGTGTGCTCTCTGTCTCTATCTGGATGTGAAGCCAGAAGTGGGGCAGGGTCTGCAGGTTTGATAGCGCTGTGGGAATGGACAGGAGGGAGAAGGGTGTTTGGGATGAGGTTGCAGTCAGTCTTGAAGTAGGGCAGTCTTAGCTTTTTGTATGCTGGGGACAGGTTTGCTTATAACTTTGCTTGAGAACTGAGTGGGACTGTCCATACACGGTGGTTTGTGAAACGCCTGTAAATCACATTGAATGCTGGCACTGAAAATGGCTGTGGTGATGTAGAACAAGCCCTGTAGGCAGAAGGGCGGGGAATGACCCGAGGAGCCAGCTGCGTTTGCCCAGAGGCTCAGAAGGTTCCAGTGGTGTGCGTGACAGGCTCTTCTCTTCTCAGGTGAGCCCTCTGCTGAGGGAAGGAACAGTCTGTGCTCCCAGGTCAGGGAAACATGTCCCGTCGGAAACAGACCACTCCTAACAAAGTTCACTGTGAGTATTATGTGAAACAGCGTCGTGGGATCCTTGCCCTAGCTGAATTGCTGTGGAGTGAGATGGGGAGGAGGGAAATGATGACAAGGTACAGTTTGTAGGGGAATGATGGTTGCTCACTTTTTGTCTCAGGGATTATAAGAAACTGAGCTTTATGCGTCAGGAGAGCTGGCTGTGTCCTGGCATGGCAGGGATAGACTTGAACAAATAGGTAATGCTGTAAAGGTAGGTTGTGTATGTGCAGGGCCTGTAGCTGTGCTTCGCTTTCACACTGTCACAAGTGCAAATTAGTATACTAAGAAATGTGACTTGAGGGCCCTGGCCCATCTTGGGTAGCAAAGGAAGTTCTAGGCCAAAGTGTGTAGCAGAAAGCCAGGAATTCTTGGGTTCTGATCTTTGCCCTACCACAGACTCAACTGACTGACCTTGGACACATTCCTTGAGCTCACTCTACCTCAGCTTCCTACCAGATAATGTAAGTAAATGTAAGTAAAGCCATTCCTTGCAGGGAATGGGCAGTGGCCAAGTAATTTACTGGACAATAAATGCTGTCAGCTTATTTTTGAGCTGAGCTGATAGGACAGATCTCTGTTTCTCCAGCACTGCCAAGCCCCTGGCAGTTGAAGAGCTGAGGATGCTGTACATCAGCACTTCTTGTGGGCAGGCTACAGAGAGCTGTTAGCGGAGCTGGAGATGCGTATGGATGTTTGGCTCAAAGGGGAAACTGCACATATATGGCTTTTGTTTGACTGATTGCAGCTGAGGAATGCTGGGGGACTAAAGCTATGCCCTTGTTCATATCCAGCTGTGTTGCTAGAAACATGGTTAGAATTTGGGCTAGAATGAGGAAAACAAATTCCTGCTTCTGTAGATCTGTGAAAGCAAGCAAGGCTGATGAGAGGGCCCTCGGTATTGCTAAGCTTAGTAGCTGCCAGGGGTATGGGACAGAGAGTTGAATGCTGCAGCCCTAACACTGCCTCACTTTGCTGCTGGCTTGCATGTTTCTGCCTGTTTCTTTGTGTTGCCTTTCCATATGGGTATGGCAACAGGAATCTATGCTTGCTATTCTCTGTACTAGGGGAAAATACACTGGGATATAGCCTAACACTTTGTACACTCAGTGAGTGTACTGGGGAAATTTATCTCTGCTGGGACTTGAAAGCCCCATTGGCTGCTAGAGCCAGGCATGGGGGAGCTGACAAAGCTTTCCTTGGTGGCCATCTAAGAGTCTGAGGCATAGCTTTTGGCATCTGCACTGACTTGTGCTTTCCTATTCCTGCTTCTGGTGCTGGGTTCCACATGGGCAGAGTGTAGCTTTGATTTGCCTGATAGCATTTTAATGACTTTGAAATTGTCTCCCTTAGAGAAATAAGATTTGTCCTGTGCTTTGTCCTGTGATGCCAGTATCATATCTTTTGCCCACACACTTTTGCTTCTGAAAGTGCCCAGAGGTTACTCCTGGCGTTTAGGTCAGACTTAAGTAAGGCATGCATTTACACTGTCTCCCCTGGTGTAGAGTTGTGGCCTCTCATGTGTGGAAACCAAGGGTATTAAGCTCTACTGGTGCAGGTAGAGTTTCCATGAATGTTTAGGTGAGCAGTTTTCTGCACCTTACATGAGAAAACTCATACAGTTTCCCACGTAAGGGTGATGTTCTTCAGAAGCTTGAACTATTATATACAAAGCTATACATATGATGGAGTTCAGTGTATGCTATTTTCATGGTGAGCAGCAGCTTTTTTTATCTGCAATACAAGCGGTTGTACCTCCAGTGTTGGTCTTGGGGGAAGCTATCTGACAAATACGCTACCAGTGGGCATGATGTTGAGGTTGGCGTCTGGTATGCCATAGAGGGGAGTTCTGGGACCTGTTCACCTCCTTTACATGCAGTACACTGCTACAGAGCAACTATTCAACAGGAGCCATCAGAAGCAGTAAGTAGGACCACAAGAAAATAAAGGGACCGAAGGATACAAGAAACATGTCAATGGTGATGTCTCCAACTTGGGTTGGGAAATCTTGCCTGTCTTATGATGAACGCCATTGGGACTTTTCTGTCTACCTAGCCTGCTGTGTATCTGGAGGGCCCAGAAATGCCATGCAGTGCACTCACGAGGAAAATCGCAAAGAGCATCAGCTCCACGAACTGGGTGAGCCAGCAGAATGAGGAGTCAGGCTGAGACATAGCAGACACGTTACTGAGACTTCTTCACAGGGACTGAAGTGGTTGGGAGGAAAGGAGTAAAAGGGACAGCAGGTATGCAGCTTTTTGTGCAGTTGTCTGCACCTGGGGTCTGATTTGGCAGGCTATGGGGCTGGGGAAGTGCTTTTGGATTTGCATAAGTACCACTGTGAGTATCTAACTGAACAAATCTGTGGGAGGACAATGCCTACTTCTTTCTTGCATGGCTACTCCATGTTAGCTTCTTTCTTGGATTCACAAGGGCAAGCGGCAGCTGCAGATCTCCTCTCTTGGCTTGCTTGGTGCCACCTCTTTCCAGGGTTACTTTCAGGTTTGGCATGGCCCCCGTTTAACCTTGTTCTCACAACAGCATGGTTTGCTGTCCTCGCTTAACACATAATCATTCTGTTTAGCATGCAGATTGACCAGCTGGGTAGTTGTGTGGTTACGAAACCGTTTTAAATGGAAGTGAAAAATGTGTGAGGAAATTCAAAATAATACAGAAACAATGATAAAAATTACCACAAAAGTCTCCTGATGCATGATGGCCAGTCCTTCTACAGTATTAATTGTAGTCATTACCCCTTTGGCACGGCTGCAGCACACAACTGGTTCTTAATAATTTAATTTTGTTTTGCCACATGGTGCATGAAAAGCACACCTGGCAAATAGTAATACTGTAATAGATGGCAGTGCATTGCCCATTCCATATTGAACTGAAAACTACAATTAACTGAATTGTTCCTGTGAAGATAACCTTAATTGATTCATTTTGATCTTTATTTTCTCCCAGAGTCTGAAGTATAAAGTACAGAATCTCTCTAAGCCATTCATCTAATCTTGTGCTCAAGCTCACCCAGTGCTGTGCTTTCATCCCATCAATTATGCTGCTCTTCTGCTTGCCAGAAAGTTGCTGCAGGTGTTAGCGTGCACTTTTATTTCTGTCCCTGCTGTCCCAAGGGCTGTTCTTTCTATTGCTTGTACCCCTTGCAATTGATGCATATTTTAGAACTCTTGAGAACAGGTTTTGTTAGAGCTAGGAAGTGGGAATTAATTTGACTGTTTATCCTGGTACAAATATCCTATTAATCTTCTATTTCCTTTCCTCTCCTTCTGACACGCACACATTCTGGGCTCTTCAGTGTTCTTTGAATTCTGCTGTCTATAATATTCCCAGTTTGAAGAGAAAGTGTCTTGCAAGAAATAGCACCCACCATTCAAACCCGAGCAGAAATGTTACTTGCATCAAAATCCTTTGTTCTTAAAGGGCTCTGTGGGCTGCTGTTGTTAACTCTTTCAATTGTGTTGTTTTTCATTTCAGTAACCACTACAGCAGTGTGGACAACCCAAAATAGCGATGGGGCAGGTGGACTAGATTCACAGTGGTGGAAACACATGCAAATTTCAGGTCCAGGAAAGGAACACAGAAGACCTACATGAACAGGGACTTTAAATTGATGTATGAGGAGGGAATAAAGAGGCTCATCTGAGAGACCTTTCTGTTTAGGAAGGAAGACAGGGGAATGATGCCATTTCTTTTGATTTTGTTTTATGGATCTTGGCTTGGGGGTTGTTTGTTTGTGTGTTTGTTTTCCAGAACACCTGAGAGTTATCCTGCATTCATACAGTTCAAGAAGGGAAGGGCTCAGGAAAAATATCATTTCTGGCTACAAAGTTGATACAGCACCAGATCCTAGCAGTAATGCCCCTGTTGCACAGTTCCACAGGGTTGCCCCCTACCTGCACAGCTGCTCACATGGCATCCCACTCCATTTACAAGAGTATGGAGAGAACTGGAATGCAAAGCAGAGGCATTTTTATGATCTTTTATTGTCCTACATTTCTAGCTGCTTGTAAACAAATACACTGACTTGTTTTGGTGTTGTAGTCGGACTGTTTCAGTGTTGTGGTCAGCCTGCAGCCATTTTTGTATTTAATAAAGAAACTTCTGCAGAAGAGTGTGAGTTCACTATTGAACATAATATCCTTTACTGATAGTAGTGATTGTAAAGCTATCGCCTGTCTTACTCTCTTTCCAAATGAATAGAAGTGGATTCAAAGTGGGGTGGAGGTGGGGGTGTAAGTGTCTGCATGTGTGAGCGTGTGTGTGCAGAAACAAGTGTAACTTCATACTACCAAATAGTAGTCCATCAGTAGATGAACAGGACAGTGTTCCCTAAGTTCTTTTGGAGACAATATTAATTTAATACATAAGAAATTCTGTATAAGCTAAAGATAGCATTTTCAAAAGTTTGTCTTTCCCAATCCCATGCTGCCTTTTTTTAGATACAGGCTACTGGAGAATGCACAAGATGTCATCTGCTAACAGCACTGGTGTGGTTAACAATTTGCATTTCTGGCTGTGAGCTGACAGTTTTCTGCACTGCGCTGAATCAATGCTAACTTGGTTCTGGGTATGTTGTACAGAAAGGCCACTGGCAGACACAATCACTCTTAGTTGTTGTGGTTGATGCTAGTGTTACTGACAGGAGGAGTTTCCTTCTCAGCTACATTATGTAAAGATCACACCTTTTCAAATCCTGCAGGCTGTCTGCATAATCTGTATCTGAGCAGAAACCTGCTGCCGTAGTACTCCAGGCTGCTGCTCAGTGGAAACGTAAGCCATCTGGGAGGGGAAAGGGGAAGAAAACAAGCACCTACCTACTTGCACTGGGACATACAGTGGTGTTTGGGAATCCTGTTGTGTAACTCTGCCACAGGTAGCATGTCTCCCGCCACTGTTTTACATCTGTCCTGTGCTGGACAGGTTTCCTCATTCACCGTACTTTCCTTTGTCTTGCAATGCTTTTTTAGACTCTGCTCTTTAGCTTTTGACCTGGTGGTTGGTGCATATCTGCTTCCTGGAGAGGCACTGTAATTCTGTAATGTCTGCTGTTCATACAGTCTGTATCTCGGTCCCACCAGTGTGCGGTTGTGGTCCAAAACTAAAAGCAGCACTCCAGGCTATGAAAACCATTCAGTGTTGGAGTGGCTTCTGGTGGGGGTACATGTGTCACAGCAATCACGACAGTACCTGCTACTTTTGGTGACAAATACACTTTGGGTACTCCTCAGCACCTCTCATCAGCCCACATGGATTGTGTTCTTGAGTCTTCTCCACAGAAACCTCTCTCACATTTCTGAAACAGAATAATAAATGCCTTCAAATGCCTTTGGGGGGACATTGGGAATTAAGACTCCCACAGTCTCCATGAAACTTCTGAAGGTCTTTGAAATCTTCCTTAAATTACTGCTTTTTAAAGCACTGTCGGAAACTGGGAGGTAAGCACCAGAAAGGCAGTGTGAATATGAACACGGGGCAAAGCTGGCTGAAACAGGGTAGCATGTAGGAATGTATCTGTCCTTGTAACAGGGCTGGTGCTGTCTTCATGGCTCAAGAATGCAGTGCCCTGGTTATGCTGTTGTCAGTTGTGGCCCTATACTAAAAGGTACAATTTTCTTCTGAAAGCTATGTTTTGGCTTTGCTTTTATGTGAAGAATGCACTGCATCTTTGTTAGCATTTTTGCATTTATGCTTTGAGTGATTCTTGAGAGCTTAGACATCAGTTGATAGATTTAACCCAAAGCTGGCCCGCTGGGAATTTCAGCATCTTGCCCCAAGTGCTCCCAGCTCATCCACTGAGGGGTAAATCAGGACCAGATTTGGAACAAAGACATTTGATTAAATATGAAAATTAATTGTTGCCCTTTACTGTTATTCTTCGGAACCAGAAGTTCTACTTAGAAGAGAACACTGTAGGAGGTTTTCTTTCAGAGGCACAAATAATAGCTTCTTTCAATTTGTTTGCCATATCTTATTGAGTTGAAGTAGTAGTGATCAGTGTCTTTCAACAAACAGACTGTAAGCTCTCCTAACCCAGCATCTCAGCTCCCTATTTTCAATTCCCTTAGTTTTCTGTTTTGAGCATTGAAGTGCCACTGAGGTTTGTTTTAGCCAGAGCCATTCCTGGGCAAGATACGGTGGTGAAGCAAGTTACCTGTCACTTAATAGCAGGACAATACCAGCTCTGGGAGCAAACACCTTCCTGAAGGGCAGCGTGTCCTCAGTCTAAGACAGAGGGTGGTGACAGAACATGACAAGGACAAACCTTGGTTTTGATAGCACTGTGGAGGGCAGGTGAAGTGTCAGGAGCACAGGAAGGTACTGGTTTTGTGCAAGTTGCATGTTCTAGCAGGGAATAGGACTTCGTGATTTTCAAAGCCATATAGCACTGTGCCTGATCTGGTATGCGGTCGTAATCCTCCAGCGGCTTCCCTTCCACCCAGAGCTGTGCTGTAGCTCTACTGGGAGATAGCTTGGTAGCAGAGAAAGCCACCTGGCTATGTACGGCAAATAGATGGGATCTCACAGGGGTTTTGTGGCTGGAGTGGTGTATAAAGAGTATGCAGAGTGCAGCGCAATGCTGGACGTTTCTACTAGCAAGATTGTTCTACACACAGGGGCTGGACTCACCTCAGCGGGTACGAGAGGCTGGTGTTGCAGGGTAGGCAAGCAGAGAGTTACTTAAATGCTTTCTGAGAGGTGACTTCAGAGGTGCTGCACAGTGCAGGTGAGCAGCCCCATACTTGTTCTGGTTTTGGCAAGCCTTGGTGGTGAAAGCAAGGCAGTGGCATCAGTCTGACTCTCTGTCCTTGTGGCTGCCAGGGGAGCAAGTCTTTGCAGGGCTGGAGGAGCAAGCCCGACAAGCCATGATGAAAACCAACTTTCCTGGAGCTCTTGGTGACCAAAGGCCAGCCATTTGTCAACTGCAAGACCCCGACTCCAGCAGCAGTGAGTTCTGCCCCTTCCAATAATGGCAAGGTAGTGGACTGGGGACACCGTGACAAGGGGCTAGGTGCTGCACAGCTTGTGGGGGTCCTCTGAGGGCCATCTTACCCATCTCCTCTGGGTTAGCCCTTGGCTCCTGTGCAGGATTGTCTGCATACAGCCAAAGCAGGGCTGCTCCCTACAGGGATGTAAGCCCAGAGCCAAGGACCACCGCTCTCCAGGGTGGGTAATGACCTCACCACCAGGATGCGGTCTCAGTTCAGCAGAGCAGGGTGGTAACAAGAGGAGGTTCAGAGGCAGCCCAAGTGATAGTCAAGCAAGGCAGGGTAACAGGACATGTCATCTGAGCACCTCAGTCCTTAAAGTGCACCAGCCTGAGTTTAAACAGAGCCCCTGGTCTGAGGGGTGGGTAGAGGCCCCAGGTAATCTTAGTCAGGACAGTTAAGGCTTATGAGTGCTCTCAGGGTCCTGACACTTGGAATTACTGTTCTGCATGTTCTAGGTAGCAGTGATGACGAGGAAACCACTCAGGATGAAGTTTCTTCACATACCTCTGAGGAGGATGGCTCAGTGGTGAAAGTAAAGAAAGAGTTAGAGAATGCTGAACAACCTGTGGCTGAAGCCCCACTGATGGGAGAAAATGAGGCAAGTGTGTACTGGTGCTGCACTCACCTGGGCCTCCCAGGGGTGAGACAGGTACCATCTAAACACCTTCTCTCCCCATCATTGTTTATCTTTTTCTCCCTCCCACCTCCTCCAAACAACACCTTCTGGCAGGAAGGGAAAGTGTATGAAGAGTTCTTGGGCTGCCAGGAGCAGGAGATAACCTGCACAGATATGGTTCTCCTGGCTGGCCAAAATGATTGTGCAGAGTGTGCCCCCTTCTTTAAGTCCTCGTGGCTTTCTCTGACTGACTTCCCCTCCCTTCTGCTACAGAGCAGGCCTTGCCTACCAGAGCCACTGTGCTGGAAGAGCCTGTGTGTGCGTGGAGGCCTTGAGGCCTTTTGCCTGTTCTGCAGACACCAGAGTTTTGCTCAGAGGCTACATAAAGTAATTTTCAGAGTGCAACAGCATGAACCAGCCCCAGTGGGACTGGGCACACAGCCCTTGGTCTGGCCAAGTCCTGCCTGGTGGTACTGACCAGATACTAAGGGAAGGTGGTGTGTCTGCCTTACACCAGGGTGGCTTTTCTTCCCTGTAGGTGCCTGGGAGTTTGAATGCTGACCCTACGCTGGGACTGTCACAGTGCCCCCTCTGCCAGCTGGAGTGTGGAGGCAGAGAGCAGCTCATCACTCATGTATACCAGGTAACGGATATCTCTGGCCTTAAGCCCCAAATTCAGCAACAACCCAAAGCACAGGGTGGCTTTGTTCTGGTCTTTGCAGTCTCAGAAATGATCTTATAGCTAGGATGTGACTGAGGTTTAAAGCAGTAGACTGTCCAGAGGGTGTCCTGGGGAAAGAATCAGCAGGGCACCAGTCTGTAGAGCTGAAAACACAACTCAAGCCCAAGGCAGTCTCTGCAAGTAGTTGCAGGCTCAGACCAGGCAGTCCTTCAGATTAAACATGGAGGCAATTTTTACATTATTCAGTGAGATAAGAACCCTTCCTCCTAATCAGTCAGTTCTTTATTTTGTATCTTTATCCCAGTTCCTACCCATGAAAACAGCTGTTCTTCCTCTATTCCAGTATTGCAGGAAAACCATGCTGGAATCTCACAGGTTTTGTTGTCAGTGCTCTCTTCACAGCACATCAAAGTCTGTAAAAGAAGGAATGAAGCAGAACAGGCCACTTACCTGCACAAGGTGACTGCCTCCATCTAAGTGCTTCCTCACCAGTGTCATGCCTACTGTTAGTCCAGTCATGCTTTGTGCAGCAACGGCAGCTTCTCAGATGCATTTCTGAAAACAAGGGTCTTGCAATCCAAGTGTTTTGGCCTTAATTGTTTCTCTTGTATCAGAGTGGAGCTGTAGAAAGGTCTCCTCCTTGCTGTTTGACCTGTGACACCCTAGGTGTCTTGAGCTTAGTCTAGGAGCTGTCTGACAGAGGTTTAGTGGTAAAGTGTTCCCACTCCAGGAGGCTGAGCTGACTGGTTTGCCGTATCTGCTGAGCCCGTCTGAGACTGGGCAGTTGGTAACTAGCCACCTCGTTGTTGTTTCACAGCACAGTGCGGCAGTGGTGAGCGCCAAGAGCTACATGTGCCCTGTATGCGGCAGAGCCCTCAGCTCACCAGGATCCCTCGGGCGACATCTCCTGATCCACTCAGAGGACCAGCTGTCCAACTGTGCAGTGTGCGGGGCACAATTCACCAGCCACGCCACGTTCAACAGGTCAGGGTCACCCTGGATGGGGAGTGGGCTAGAGTACCCACAGTAGAGATTAGGTGCCTTAAATGAGACAGAAGTCATGGCTCTAGACCTACTGAACACCCCCAGTGAGTGAGATTCCCTTGATCCCTTTCTCCCTGTAGCTCTGCATCACCTGCTAAGACCTCCCTGGGCTGTGCTGCTGAAAGAGTGTTCCTTTGCTGTGTAAAGAGCTAGAACTGTGCAGAAAGCACTGGGGTCTCCAGTCACTGGAGAACAACCAACTGCTTCCTTTGCCACTTCCATCAGAGTAGGTCTGTACTGCCCAGGTGGGTTGATCATTTCCAGAGCAGGACTACAGGCAGAAACCAAAATATTCATTGTGTCCTGCCTGGTGGAAGATTAACCACTGACCAGTGGAACAGGACTGGTCAGTCCTACAGAATAGAAAAGAGAAATCTAGAAATGATGGTGAGGAGCAACTTGCTGCCTAATACCTACTCTTGCACTCTGACAATCCAGATAAGCTGCTTCTGACTCCTAGATATGATGTTGCTTCATTTTAGATGCTCACACGTGTCTGTGGGCAGGAATGGTTTAGCAGAGGCCCCTGTTGCGGGCTGTAGGAAGCCGCCCGGGCAGTCTGAGGTGGGGATGCTCCTGTTAGCACCAAGTTTCTGACTCTTCTCTTTCTGCTTTCCAGTGCGAAGCTGCCGGAGATGCTCAGTGCCGACCGGCTGCTGGCTCCACAGAGCCAGGGCCCCTCCAGTGCTGAAGGGAAGGACGTTGCTTTTCACCCCACGGTGTACCCTGCAGCCATCCTGCTGGTGTGCAACAACTGCACAGCATACCGCAGGCTGCTGGAAGCACAGGCGCCTGGCGTGCGCAAGTGGGCTCTGCGGCGGCAGAACGAGCCCCTGGAGGTGCGGCTGCAGCGGCTGGAGCGTGAGCGCACGGCCAAGAAGAGCCGGCGGGACAACGAGACGCCTGAAGAGCGGGAAGTAAGGCGCATGCGGGATCGGGAAGCCAAGCGCCTGCAGCGCATGCAGGAGACGGACGAGCAGCGGGCACGGCGGCTGCAGAGGGACCGGGAAGCCATGAGACTGAAACGCGCCAATGAGACCCCAGAGAAACGCCAGGCCCGGCTCATCCGGGAGCGTGAGGCCAAGAGGCTCAAGCGGCGCCTGGAGAAAATGGACATGATGCTCCGGGCACAGTTTGGCCAAGACCCCTCTGCCATGGCTGCTCTGGCAGCTGAAATGAACTTCTTTCAGCTACCAGTGAGCAGTGTGGAGCTGGAGAGCCAGCTGCTGGGCAAAATGACCTTTGAGGAGCAAAGCAACAGTGCGCTGCATTAAGCTACAGCCAAGGACCGTTCCACCTCTTGTATGGGCACACATGCATTAGTAGCTTCTCCTCTCATGAGGCTGCTGTGTGTCCCTGGCTAACACCCTGACAGACGGTTCTGGCTTTCTCCTGAGCACAGGAGGGGAAGAGCTGAGGGGTGCCTGCCAAAGTATCTCTGGTGGGAGCAGATTCTGAGGATACATTCTGCTCTGCGGACCAAGTCACTGCTTGTGAGCAGAGGGAAAATAAATTAATGCTCATGTTTATTTAGTTCCCTTCTTTACCTTTTGTGCTTTGTCCTGTTCTTGCATCCTTGCCCCATTAAATGGGTTTGGGCTGCTGCAGCTCTTGCAGTTCTGCTGTAGGTGAAAGCCTACAAAGTGCGAATTACGGAGCTGAGGACTTTGGTAGTCCACAACTCCTCCAGAAGTAAATTCCTTGCAGTTTGTGCCCATAAAGACAAAGCAAAGGAGGATGTTGTCTCCCTGGAAATGGCTGTGCACACCCTTTTTCTTAACACTATTATTATGTGCCTTTTTGCAGTATCATTCATGGAAAAACTAAATGGAAACTAAGTTCCTGTTCTAAGATACCCCATATAAATGCTAATAGAAAGGTTGTCTGAGGTAAGCAGACAAGTTTGGTTTACTCCCAAGTTCATTTTCACTTAAACAGCATTTCAGGTTTGCAAGGGAAAGAGTTGATTGAATGGTAAACAGTAAGGGTAAGTCAGTACTCTGGTACTGTATGGATTTATTTTTCCCTTTATTCAGCAGTGGTGAGGCCACACCTGAGTGTTGTGTCCAGTACCGGGCAAGAGTGCACAGTGTACACTGTGTACAGTGCAAGAGAGGCACAGATGTACCAGAGTCCAGCAAAGGGCCACTAAGAGGGTGAACTGGAACGTCTCCTGTGAGGAAACGCTGAGAGCTGGGCCTGTTCAGCCGAGAGAAGAGTGGGCTTGATTTTGTCAATGTGCATAAATACCTGAGGGTAACGTGAAGAAAATGGAGCCAGGCTGCTTTCAGTGATGCCCAGTGACAGGACAAGAGGTGATGGGCACAGACTGAAGCACAGGAAGTTCCCTCTGAACATCAGGAAACACTTCTCACTGCCCAGGGAAGTTGTGGAGTCTCCCAGCTTGGAGATGCTCCACAGACACTGTTCTGGGCAGCTGGATGTAGGTGGCGCTGCTGGAGCAGGGGGTTGGACTGGATGAACCTCCAGAGGTCCATTCCCACCACAACCCTTCTGTGATTTCATAGTAAGCTGACCTTGTTCAACCAATTCAGTACAGTCACATGTATTGATACACAGCCCATGTAGGACCACGGATCACACTCAGGTTATTAATTCTCATAGTGACAAATAGTGACTTTCAGTGGTCACTGCAGGTCACACTGTGGGGTGAGTGGGGACCACTGGCAAGAAGAAACACATGGGTCAAAAGTTGCTTTTGCTCCCACACTCAGCAGCAAAACTACTGTGAGGAATGTGGAAAAGTGGTGAGCTAGGGAGGAGCTGTGGAAAGCTCAGTAACCAAGTCTGGAAAAACCTGCTGGATGGCAGGGAATGTAAGCCATTTACGTCATTCATCACATACAACTGTCATCTGTGAGCTTGGGAAAACACCAGATCTGGAAAGGATCTATTCAGATCCTTTGTTCTCTGACCTGATCTCTCACTTCTGTCCTGAGCTCTGTCTGGTTTCATGCTCAAACGGACAGAGGTTGCTCCTCACAGTGTTTCCTGGTGCTGTGTCTGTATTGCTTTGCTAGCACACATGCAGCTTCACTGCCACCTGCAGCTGTGACCCCCCCTGCAGTGTCACCGGCACCTGATCATTATTGCAAGGGGTTCAAGAAAAAACATACAAACCCAGAAGTATCTGAGCACAGAATTATGGCTGTAATCCATCTGTCATGCAGCCTGTACCCTGCCCTCATCACAATCTGCAGATCACTGTGTAAGACCAGAGAAGCCACATCCTCACGATCACTGATGCTACAGATGAGCAAGAAGTCTCAAACACCAAAGGAAAAGCTATTGGTTTATATATAGATATATATATATAGATATATACTGTGTTTACAGAGTCAACAAGTTAAATGCAATATTCATAAGAGCATTAACAATAAAAATACAATCTGTGTGTAGCCAAGTACAGACTTAAAATGGTAAAACAGGAAAAAGGATCTCACCAAAAGTACAAATATACAGTACAAATTGATTTATTTAAAACAGTTACAAAAAAAGCACAACAAAATAGAGATTATCCTTATAATTATTAATGCTTTGTTAAAGATCAGGTAGAGGAGAAGGGCAGGAGCAAGGTTGGAGTGGAGCACCTGACTAGTTCTAAGGCTTTAGATACAATGCGGTCGGTTACATGTTAATACAGCCATTACATAACTGGGATTATAGTTGAGGGATCAGCACTTATCTACAAAGACCTCCCTGCCTCGGCAGCCCAGCCCCTTCCCCAGGGCCACGTCTCTGCTCTGCTTTGCTGGGGCAGACCCTCCCTGGTGCCTTGGAACAACCAGAGCATGCACGGTGTGCTTGCAAGGGGCCCACAGCAGCCTAGAAGGATGTTAGGGGCAAGTCCTGTCCTCCATGGACAGATGTGAAGATCATGGAAGGGCCTTGACCATCAGCATTTTAAGTCATACATGGAACACACCCTGGGCCAAACTCTGTACAGAGTGTGCATTCGGAGCCATCTTAGCAGGTTCTGCAAGGTTTCAGGCCCTAGGACAGCCTGAAAGACAAAGAGCAGTTGTGAGTGACGCTGGGGAAAGGCACGTGTGCTGCTGTGGGCAGGAACTAGCACGTGGGCTACTCAAGCTGCTGTCATTTCTGTTACAGTATTTTCTGAGTAACAAGGGGTGTTAGTTCTCTACTGGGCAAAGTGACTTCAAGTGTGGGGTGGGGACCGGGGGACGGGGACACTTAATGTGAAAAGTGCATTATACTTGTGCTCCTGCTGGAAAGGGGAGGCAGAGGGGCCCCTGCAGCTTTCCTTCTTTCCAGGCAGAGCTTCCTCTGCATAGTCTGCTCGTGATGAGCGCTTGTCGCAAGCCTCGTGTTCCTGGAGCTGCAGTGATGCAGAGCCTAGAACCAGGCCTGGCCTCTGCTGGGCAGCGGGCCCCAGGAGTGGCTTGTGAGATGGGACAGACGGATACAGACACCCATTATTGCATCCTACAGATTCTTGCCATGGAATGTCAGCCGGGTAAGGCCAGGAGGCCTCTTCCACAGCTCCCTCCCCTTCACAATAGCAGCAGGAAAACAGTATATTTCTCCGAGAAGCCTATCACATCTCTGCCAGCAGAAAGGCCCAGATAACCATCTCATTCCACAATGTTTTCCTGGCTTTACCTCCTCCATTCCCTGTAAACCTAAAAAATAAAAGCCTCCTCCATGGGCTCATTTACAGCATTTCTGCCTGCAGCAGTGCCTGCCTCACAATCCCCTATCTCAGGAGAGCCTCAACGCTCAGCACAACAGCCACCAAGGGCTGAGCAGCACAGGCCAGCCGAGCCAGGACAAATTCCAGCAATCACCGGCACTGCCAACCTGGGTCGGATGGCAGCCAGTGGCCCCTCCTGCCTGCCACCTCTGGGGCAAGCAGTGATGCCCAGATCCCTCATGTCACTGCCCTGCCACGAGATGTGCCCGACCACTGCCTCCATAGGAGAGCTGGCAGCAGTGCTCAGCAGTGGGACTGACAGGGAGTCTGGGTAGAAGCACCGAGGTCAAATTCACCCTGGCCTGTTTCACAGAGCTCAGAACCATGCTCAAGAGATGAGCAGCAACCCAAAGTTCAGGCCAACGGCCAGGTAAACACCGGAGCAAGCACCAGAGCAAGCACCTTCACAGCCCTTCAGCTGCCTACAGTACAAAGCTATTTTAGCCACACAGCATCTCGCCTCATGCACCAGTGTCTGCCCTTTCAGACCACTGTTGAGTGCTGCTGGGATCTAGAAGTAGTTACAGTAGTTACATGAGTAACTGATCTAGGAGTAATTACATGAGATAGCGCAGGCCCTCCAACCCTCCCTCTGAAAGACAGAGACTCCTGTGTTCAGGGAGGCACGCAAGGGGCCCTGCACCCCTCAGCTGCTCAGGCATCCCCTCCATGCGTGCAACCAGCCTGGCTACATTCACACACTGTGCGTGTGCAAGATCCTTTTAGCTGCCTGCCACAGCTCTGAACTCCTCTCATGCACCATGCAAAGCACAGGCAAGAGAGCTCGGGCTCTTCTGCCTTTGGCCACAGACACCCTGGGTATCCTGAGCATTAAGTACTAACCAACATTAATCGAGGTCTTTGCGTAGGAGAGTCCAATGAACAGCAACTGTAAAACACACACAGGGACGAGGCTGGGCTCCTGGGCCCAGACAGTACATTTCAGTGACACATGAAAACAGCATCTGTTCCCGCAGCTGCTGCGTCCAGGGAGGCAGTATCTTCACATGACAGCATCACCACGACAGCATACACTGCACATGCAGCTGATGAGATCAGAAGCAGTGTGGCATCTGGGGGAAGCTACATATGATACAGGCAGCATCCTCACCCTGGAGAAATCCCCATGAGGCACAAACACTGAAGGCATGAGTAGCACATATCTCACCTAAGGCCTGAAAAGAAACTGTCCTGGTGCAAGCATCTCAAAGGCAACAGAAATGGCTAGCAATGTGCTAGGAAAACAACTGGTGGCCTGGATGGAAGGGACATTCTGATGACTCTAATTTGCCTATACCCAGGCAGAGCACACCCTTGTCACACAGTCAGCTGAAGCCAACCAATTACAGGACACATTCCTGGGGCGTGCAGCGCAGCCCCGAGACACCAGTACTGCAGCTGTGCCAAGGAGAGGGACTGACACAGAAGCTGCTCAGCAAAAGAAAGGAGCAGTGCCCTGGCAGCCAGGCAGGCCCCACGGAACACGTGAGGAGAGAAGGGAGACAGAAAACAGAATGCTGAACATCAGGAGCAGCACCAGCACACAGCAGGGACCTGCACATGGAAAGAAACTCTCTCATAAGCCTCGTCCTAGCACAGAAATGGGCATCTTAATACAAGGAACACTTAATCCAAGTTAAGTCAGGGAAGACTCTTTTCATCAACATGATAGTCACTACTTCCTATTGTAGATAAGTAGTTAGAGCTGGTGTGATAACACACCATCAGAGAGGGCAAATTAGTGTAACTACAGGAGCCTTCACTTGAAAAGAGTGTTATTACCATAACGAGGTATTAA